GTGTGTGTGTGTGTGTGTGTGTGTGTGTGTGTGTGTATCTGTGTGTGGTTGTGTGCGTCTGTGCCTGTGTTTGGTTGTGTGTGTGTGGTTGTGTCCGTTTGTGTGTGTGGTTAACTGTGTCCTTCTGTGCGTGTGTTTGTCTTCAAACTCGACTGGCACAAACGAAAGTGATTATAGGCCTATAACAGCTATGGCGAATGTTACTTTGTGTGTGTGTGCTTGTGTTAGTCTGTGCCAGTGTACACACTCAAAGACACACACACGGAAATAGACAAAAACACAGAAACACATGCTCCTGAAAACACGGGCACGGGCTGAGCCTGTGTTCGTGTGTGGTACACAAAAAACATACAAACACGGACACGGAATGTGCCAGGGTGCGTGTGTCGTTGAATGTGTCTGTGTGTGTATGTGTCTGTGTCTGTGTCCGTATCCGTGTGCGTATGTGTGTGCGTGTGTCGTTGTGTGTGTCTGTGTCCGTGTGTCTGAATGTATCTAACTGTGTCCTTGTGTGCGTGTGTCTGTGTACGAACACGACTGGCGCAAGCGGAAGTGATTAAAGGCCTCTAACAGTTCTGGGAAAATTCGTCAACACTTCAAGCTTGTATCTTTATGTCTGTGTGTTTGTGAGTGTCTGTGTGTGTCTGTGTGCCTGCGTTCTTGTGTGTGTGCCTATCTGTTTGTGTGTGTGTCTGTGTCTGCGTGTCTGTGTTTGCATACTTGAGGCTGGTGGATCTAACGAATCAATCAATCAACCAATCAACCAATCATGTGTGTGTTTATGCACATCCGTGTGCGTGCGTGTGTGCATGTGTGTGTGTGTATCTGTGTGTGGTTGTGTGCGTCTGTGCCTGTGTGTTTGGTTGTGTGTGTTTGGTTGTGTGTGTGTGGTTGTGTCTGTCTGTGTGTGTCTAACTGTGTCCTTTTGTGCGTGTGTCTGTGTGTAAACTCGACTGACACAGACGAAAGTGATTATAGGCCTATAACAGTTATTGGGAATGTTACTTTGTGTGTGTGTGCTTGTGTTAGTCTGTGCCAGTGTACACACTCAAAGACACACACACGGAAATAGACACAAACACACAGAAACACATGCTCATGAAAACACGGGCACAGGCTGAGTCTGTATTCGTGTGTGGTACACAAAAAACATACAAACACGGACACGGACTGCGTCAGTGTGTCCGTATGTGTCTATGTGCGTGTGTCGTTGAATGTGTATGTGTGTGTACGTGTCTGTGTCCGTGTCCGTGTGAGTGTTTGTGTGCGTGTGTCGTTGTGTGTGTCTCTGTCCGTGTGTCTGTGTGTGTCTAACTGTGTCCTTGTGTGCGTGTGTCTGTGTACGAACACAACTGGCGCAGGCGGAAGTGATTAAACGTCTCTAGTAGTTCTGGGGAAATTTTTCRACACTTCAAGCCAGTGTCTTTACGTATGTGTGTGTCTGTGTGTGTCTGTGTGTCTGCGTTCTTGTGTGTGTGCCTCTCTGTTTGTGTGTGTGTCTGCGTCTGCGTGTCTGTGTTTGCATACTTGAGGCTGGTGGATCTAACCAATCAATCAATAAACCAATCAACCAATCATGTGTGTGTTTATGCACATCCGTGTGTGTGCGTGTGTGAATGTGGTGAGTTCTTTTTTTCCTTCTTGTTTTTCTTTCTTTCTAAGGGCGAAGACCCCAAACACAGACGACAAACACTTGTTGTTAGCTCATCGTCCGTAACACAAAGACCCTAACACAAAGACCGAGACCTGCCAGTAGTTGTGCCGCCCTTTCTCATCGTCCCCCACCCTTCACCGAGAAGCAGCAGAGGCTTTGGCCAAGACTCTCCCACACACCACACACAACCTACTCGCGCTCACACTCACACCCGTGTTGGTCATAGACCCCGCTAATCACAATCCGTTGGCACTAAGTGCGCCGCAGGCGACCATGTTCAGCAGCTAGGTGAAAACCAAGATCTTCGAAAACTAATTTTCAGGACTGAACATCAATTTTAAGTTCACAAAAATACCCTTAGCAAAAAGAATATGTTATTTTAAGTAAGAATACAATCAACTTGTGCCAGGGAGGTACACCAGTTCAGTAGAAAACAATATGTTCGCTCAGGTTTGAGAGAATATGTCCCGGAACATGTTTGAGCGTTCAAAAAACCCCCGAATACGTTTATCTGTGTCTATGTGCGCGTGGTTGTTYGTGTCTATGTGTGTGCCTGTGTGTGAGTGTGGCAGGCAAGGCAAAGGTGTTTTGAGACCACTTTCAGGCCTCTGTCTTTATATGTTTTTGTGTGACTGTGTTTGTGTGTGCGGCTGTCTGTGTGTGCGCAGTTGTGTGTGTGTGTCTGTGTGTATGCGTACCTGTGTGTGCGTGTGTCTGTCTGTTCTTGTGTGTGTGGTTGTGTGCGTCTGTGCCTGTGTGTGTGTGGTTGTGTGTGTTTGGTTTTGTGTGTGTGGTTGTGTCTGTCTGTGTGTGTCTAACGTTGTCCTTGTGTGCGTGTGTTTGTCTGTTAACTTGACTGACACAGACGAAAGTGATTAAAGACCTTTAGTGATTATA